TAGTGGGAGTTCCATTATTTAAGAGTTGCATTTTTCTGTCTTACTACTTTTTTTCCTCAAAAACCCGGAAAAGGGCACCCCTCTTTCTTTCTAAACCCAATAAGCCCCGCCGCTACCAAATTCAATTCAACTACTAACCATAAAAGACAACCGGCATATACATTCTTTGAAGCATAAAACATACTCATGTTGGAGACCGACTATCGAGCTTCCAGCAACTGCAAATAAGGGTAAGTAAAAGGTATTCATTGGAGTCACTCTGCTAACGGTTTGTTTTCTATCAAAGCATAGGATTTTATTCGACTTAAGGGCTCTTCACAGCCTATAATCCGTGCCCTTTGGACTTCTAAATGCCACCCTCGAGCTAAGTGGTTTTTTTGGCTTGCCCTACATAATCGCCTACCCACCACATCCTTATTTCAGCTTGAAGGCATTCCTCTGGCCACCTTATGTCATTTTTGCATGAATAATGATGTCAATGTTTGTCATCTTTTAATTTTTTATGTTTTTTCACAGGGTGTACGGAGGTTGATATCTTGGTATGTTGGTAAGCGGTTCATCATTGGTATATTTGCACCAGATATGCTTAGAAGCTGGCTAGCTTTTAGATTTAAATCAGATGGTCTTTTCAAGACTTCCTTGTTCTCCACAACGATATGGTTTCTAGAGGAAGAGCGTAATATGAGAGCCTTTCTGTCAAGGGTCTTAAGGAGAGAACAATTAGTTAAACGTATTATTACACATGTTTAGGTGTTAGCATATGTCTCCTTCCATTTATCAAAAAATGCAATAATTGAGAACCTTTAGATTATTTGGCCTCAGCAAAGCCCAAAATCCGTTCTCTAGGTGGCGTGGTCATTTCCTGAGGCTCAAAATTACAAGTTGAATATTAATGGACCTTCCTATCAAAATCATGGTCTAGCAGGCAGTGATGAGGTCTTTAGAGATAGCAATGGTGGTTTTGTTATTGTATTTGCTAAGCATTTTGGTATTGTCTCTAATAACTATGCAGAGTTTTCGACTCTTGAAGAAGGGATTCATTTAGTTATTTCGATGGTGGTTTCCACTCCAGATAGAAAGTGACTCTTCTTTGTTGGTAAATGTTTTCCAGTATCGATTTCGAGCTCCATAGCGGTTATGGACAATTGTAGGAACATACACTCTTCTCATAGATGGTACATTGCTAATGTTTTTCGTGACGCAAATATGATAGCTGATACTTTCGATAAGAGAGCAGCTGCTACCTCTGGTGTCACTATTTGGTGCTTTCGTCCGCTAAAAGACCATTAGCAGCAGTTTTGGAGCATCAAAATAGTCTCGAACTCGTGATTCTAAATTATTGAAGACGATCATTCTACTGTTTTATGAAGGATTCAGGTATGAAGTGACCTTCATATATTCTCGGCTTTATGTGTTTATGTTTTTTTTTTCAACGATGGCTATAAGCCACTGTTAAACCTTCTGAATAATTTTAAGAGAGATTTTTGGAGAGTGATTTGTCGTCTATTCTTATCTTTTGAATATTTTTTAGAGACATTTATGGAGATGGATTTATGGTTTATTTTTTTATAGGGATTGTATATTATGAGACCATTTTTTTTTTAACTTGGAGTCTAATAAATGATACACTTGCAACTATCCGATTTGAAATCTGATGGACAAATGTGATTGTGACCTTCTTGTATTAAAAGCAAATGGTCTCTTTGTGTACTTTCCCTTTTCGATATTTTATAAAGAGGTATTTTTAGAGAGGGATTTACCGTTTGTTTTAGGATACTTACTCTACAAAGATATATTTTAAGAGATAAAGAATCTTTATTCCTTAGTATTAAATCTTTTGAATGTTTTTAAGAGACACTTTTGGAGAGGGATTTAGATAGAAAGAAAAGGGTAAGACGTGCATGTCTATCATGGTTTCACTTGGTGGTGTAGACTCTTAAAGTGTTCAATATTTTTTAACACTAAAATACCCATGTATTGTAATACAAAACTTTTCCAATAAAGGCATTTTTTATCATTTAGAAGGGTATGATAGATGTTTTTATAAAGAAATAGTGGCATTTTATTAGTAGTTAAAAACAATTAATTCTATTAGTAGTTAAAAATAAATAATGCATCTTATGGGTGATGCCACACACCGTATCGGTGATGTTGTTGTCCACTATTGTTAATAAATGTTTTTGTTTCTATTAGAAATTTCTAGTCCACCTTTAACTAATTACTTAAAATACTCCTAAACAAAAAGTTACTATATTATAGGACAAGAATATCTAAATATCTAAAAATGTTGAGCACTTTAAGGGTCTACAACAGCCTAAAAAAAAAAAAATTAAAAAAAAAATTTAAAAAAGAAAAAAAGAGGTTATAGATGCCACTACTTGCGAAAAAAGAATTTTGTCACCTAATATCTCTGATTTCTGCCGTATGTCCTAAAAATCTCCCCAATCGGCGGTTTTGATAACTATAATTTCCTTTTTTTTCTTTTTTTTCAAGTAATCTACATAGATTATACGTGTCATAAGTATTCTTTCTTATATTTTTTCCCTTAAACATAGATTAATTTTTAGTATGATCGTAGGTCCTTAGCATGCAAAAGATGAGCGCACTTACTTGAACTTTTTTTAAAAAAATCTCTCTCCCCCTTATGCTCTCTCCTAAAATAGGTGCATATAACTTTTTCTTTCTCTCCTTAAACATTGGTAACTATGCTACAATCCCTATAGTATTAGGATCTTTTGCAACATGTGCACCCCTTAAGTACCACTTAATAATGTAGTATAATATAGATAAGAGATAGAAAATGGGTACAAATATAGTAAAATAAAAGTAAAGGGTAGAAAATGAGTACATGTGCAATAAAAAAATTAACAATAAATATTGAATAAAGACGTAATTTATAATATTTGAAATTAACATATAAACATATTATCCATACATAGAATTATCACAGGGCCACCCTCCAAACTCAAAGTTACCATTACGGTGTATACCAAACAGACACTAGCCAACACCATTATGCGTCCTCTTTAAACCCTAATTGAAACCAATCTTAGGAATTGGGTGGGTCTGTGTGGTTAGCAATTGACGTGACGCAATTTTACGTCTTAAGTTTGATTTCAATTAATGAAAATTTTTTTTTTTAAAAAAAGAAAAAACTGATCTTGCTCACCTAAACAATCCCAAAAATTGGTCGTAACGGTGGATCGTGATCTAGATGAGAGATATGGGGAAAATAAAATTAAAAAACTTTGTGAAAATTAAAAATTTTAAAAAAATCAAAAAAAATGGTGAGGACGGATCAGCTGGTTCCTGACAGTAATAGACGATTCTATTAGAGAAGTAATCAGTTCCTAAAAAAAATAAGCATTATCTCAATATAAGGTGGGAAGTAGACTAGCTCTACTAATTCTCGATCTAGATCGCATGATTTTTTGTCCGAATCAGTGTTCCTTCAAAACAATATGTTTTTATGACTCCATAGGAAATATATATGGAAAAATTACAAGGTAAATAACAAAGGGAAAGGTTTTTATACTTCCCTATAGCATAGAAGATTTATGCTTCCCCTACCATCTAACCGTCCAATTTTGATCAAGAGAGCCACTCACCGTTTGATCTTAGATCCGACATCTTAAAGTATTTTATTTTTAGTTTTTTTAATACAAATTGTATGAATATGAAATTTCGTATGCGCCATCTTCTCATTGGGACGCACCTATAAAAATATTAAAAATAATTTTTTCATAAAATATAATGACCAAAATACCCCTTGAGATTTTCAAGAGTATTTTGGTCATTTTATTTTATTGAAAATATTGTTTTTATATTTTTAGCTAGTGCAAGTTTAATAGAGGATTGGTCGTCCAAATTTCAGTATCAAAATAATTTAAAGAAAAAAAATTAACATAAAATAATGTAGAGATGGGACATTGTGATTAAACCAATCTTAGCCGTCCATTACAGTTGGATAAGGAGAAATATATAAATTTAATGCTGTAAAAAAAGCATAGAAACCATGCCAAACAAACAATAAACACATGTGGAAATGGAGAATCGGGAAAAGTTAAAAGTTGGTTCAATCAAATCCTGTTTGCTGTGCTGCATCCCCCAAAAAGGCCAAAAACGCATAGAAAAAAAAGAGTAACTGTACAGTTTGCAGCGGCAGTAGCACCAAATCTCCTCCCCCACAAATTGAACTGGCGGGCTACTGGGCCGACTAGTCATCAACCAGTGACAGTCACCAGCCAGGTGGAAGAAGTCCCACCGCTTTTAAAAACTTTATGACACGTGTCTACCGATGCGCAAAAAACAAAGGACTAACCGCTCACCAGTGCCACGTGTCCCAAACAATTTCGTCATATCGTTACTTTTTCTCAGATGGCGGAAAAAGATCCAATCAGAAACTTCCGGGCAACTAGTACGTAATATCTACCGTCCACGTGTCGCAACCTGAGCCCTGAATCCCCAATAAACGCCAAAAAAGAACCCCCCTCTATCTTATTACCCAGAAGTTAAGGACCCCAATAAGCACGAGGCGAACACGTCATCAAATCTCCTCCAAATTAACGGCGCTTTTTCTTAATTTAGCGGATAAATGTTTACTCCGATTAATTGAATAATTAAAACCTCCCTAAATTTACTCCAACAGCTAAAAATAGTTGGTGTTCTAGCGAGTTCCACAATAACAGAAGCACCTCGAAGCTTCCTCATACGTATTCTGGACCGTACGATCGACCGACAACCACTTGTCAGGATCCTGTGCTCATAAATTGGGAAGGGAAAGATAAGCCGTACATAAGCTACCCTTTACAAATCTTTAAAAGACAATCTTATCCCTTTATCGACGGTGCAACGCTTAAAAGTTTCAATTGTGGGTTTTGGGTTTACATGTCTTTACCTAATTTTTAATGACCAAAGAGGACATTTAAGGAAGAAGGATCTGAAATTCATCTCAAATGCAATTTCGATTCATTCCGGGTGAATTTCGCGTCAATATAACGGACCCCGAGCTGCTGACTTTCGGATCGATACAACGCTCACTGCAATACTGCAAACTCTCTTCATTTTCTCTCGACTTGCGTCAAAGATTTCACCCTTGATCGACGGCTGAGATGGCTCCTGAGATGGCGAACGGCAAGAAGAACGGTGGATATTCCAAGAGGGCCTATGTGACCTTCTTGGCGGGCGATGGCGACTACATTAAAGGGGCGGTGGGATTAGCCAAAGGCTTAAGAAAGGTTAAAACTGCTTATCCTTTAATTGTGGCGGTTTTGCCTGATGTTCCCGAGGAACATAGGCGGATTTTGAGGTCACAAGGCTGTATTGTTAGAGAGATTGAGCCTATTTATCCGCCGGAAAACCAGACGCAGTTTGCTATGGCGTACTACGTCATCAATTATTCGAAGCTGAGGATATGGGAGGTATGGAAAACGCTTTTACTTTTGGCTTTTGTTTGGCTTCTAAGTGGTTTTTCTCCTTGGATTAGTGGTTTTGTTTTGTTTTGGTTATTTGAGCGGGTTTTGTGGACAAAGGTGGTATTTTTCTTGCTTGAGGAGATTTCATTTTGGTGAGTAGAGTGGTTTTGTGTTTAGTTGTTTCTTTTTCTGTCCGTTGTGTTTTTGTGGGAAAAGGTGGTTTTATCTTGAGATGGTTTGGTCAATTTTGAAAAACAGATGTCCAATGCATGGGCATGCAAAAGATTAATAATTAATAATTAATGTATGGTCAATGTCCTATACCATTTGGAGTTGGATTGTATCTATAAGGTTCACACTCATACATTTTGTTCTGGTTTTCTTATATAATCTTAGCATGTATTTTAAAAAAAAATCGTCGACAAATTTTATTTTTTCTTGTTCATAATTTGTCTGTGATGACAGTATGAAGAGTACAGCAAGATGATGTACCTGGACGCTGATATTCAAGTTTTCGAGAACATCGATCACCTCTTTGACCTCCCGAATGGCTACTTCTATGCTGTGATGGATTGCTTTTGTGAGAAAACATGGAGTCACACTCCTCAGTACAAGATTGAGTATTGCCAACAGTGCCCAGACAGGGTTCAATGGCCGTCTCACCTTGGTGACCCACCTTCTCTCTATTTCAATGCCGGAATGTTTGTCTTTGAGCCGAGCAAGCTCACCTATGAAAACCTTCTCCAAACTCTGCAAGTCACCACACCCACTCCGTTTGCCGAACAGGTGCCTCTCTCTCTCTAACTTCTACAATTTTGGGGTGTGTTTCTCTCTCTAGATTTGATTGAAGGTCTTAATGGGTTGTGTGTATTTAATTTTTTAGGACTTCTTGAACATGTTCTTCAAGGATGTTTACAAGCCCATTCCTCTGGTTTACAACCTGGTTATGGCCATGTTGTGGCGCCACCCCGAAAACGTGGACCTGGAGACGGTCAAGGTCGTTCACTACTGTGCAGCGGTGAGTCTCTCTCTCTCTCTAAATTTGTGAACGCTCAATCTCTCTCTCTAAACGATTTGGGGGTTTGTTGGAACAGGGTTCGAAGCCATGGAGGTACACCGGCAAGGAAGAGAACATGCAGAGAGAAGACATTAAGGTGCTGGTTAAGAAATGGGGGGACATCTACAACGATGAGTCCCTCGATTTCAAGGGCGAACCGCTCTTGGCCCCCGATTTACAGCAGCCCCAGCAACCAGCAGGCCATGCTTTCTATGTGGCAGCCATGGCAGAGGCCGCCCCTGTCCAGTTCATCCCGGCCCCCTCGGCAGCGTGATGAGAGAGAAAGAGAGTCGTGTCGTGCATATTGCAGGTGTTATGTGAAAAGTGGTGCATGCTTGCAGATGCGGTTTGAGAATTCATCGCGGCCCTTTTAATAGTGCTGAGCTGATGATGGACTTTTGCTCTCTTTTGATTTTGGATCTTCTTTTGTGTGATGAAAAGATTATTACTTGTTAGTGGGGAATGTAAATTTTCTAAACCCTCGTGAAATATATATGACACTATATGGATATGTGTATGGAGTGGAGTGAATGCAATTATAGGCTGAAGCGGTTACCGGTACTTTGGAATTATTTTCTTCGATCCGTCAAATGTTTTTTGCCGTTTTACCTCGCTCTTTTGCTCCTTCACTCAATACATCACCTAAACCTCTCTTTATTTTACTTTGGCAAATTTATCGCCGTATCAGTTTTTTTTTTTTTTGTGTGATATATATCGGTCATGTGGGTTGAACTGCGATTGCTCTAATTATACATCAACCCCTTTTAAACCTTAAAAACTTACAAAAATAATATTTTAAGGGAATAACTGTTACTTTTTTTTTTTTTGAAGGTTTATGGTACTCCAAGCATCCATCGTACGTAAAGCGTATACCGGTCCGAATTTTGGAACACTGGACCGTCTTAAAAAATTGGCCGAGCTTTCGATTGGGGTAAATAAGGAAAAAATGAAAAACGGTGAAAAAGGATTTCCACATAATATTGTATATTTTTTAATATCATTTAATAGCATATTTTTTAGTGAGTAGTGAACTTGTGAGACCTGCATACGCCATCATTATAAAATTTGGTATAGATTCGTAGAAAAGTTATCCTATATATATATATGGGATTTAATTTTTTAAAATATTTATATCAAATTTAATGACGATTTTTTGGGATCTTACATATATAGGTGTGGGAGGGTCCTGCAAGGTCATTTCCCTAACAAAAATGGAGAGGGTGATTTTGAAAAATGTTAAAAATTGGAGGAGAAGGATTTCCACAATAAATATCATACTTTTGAATAGGTTGGCATGAATGCCAACCCGAACGCGACCTAAGACCTTCCAAGTATAACAAAGAAAGGCCGGGTTTGAGTTCAAAACTTGGACTTGACCTTTACCCGGTTTAAACTTTTACCCTCTAAACCGTTAGAGATAAAATATGTTGTTTTAAGCTGTACTCTATTCATTTGGGTATATTAAAAATCGTATATAATTAAAACTAATAGTTATATTTAATTATTAAACAACAAATTACACGGTTTAAAATCTAGTAGTGGATGATTGGGATCTTGTTGTCAATAATACGGGTATATGATGTTCAAAAAAAAAAAAAACAGGGCGACATGGGTCCAAGACCCAATGGGATAGATCTGAGACCCAATAGGTACAGGTACTCAGATAAAAAAAAAAACAGGGTGACATGGATCAAAGACCCAATGGGATAGATCTGAGACTCAATAGGTACAGGTACTCAGATCTATTCGGGTCAAGGTCGACCCGGACCATACCTAAACCATTGTCACTCGAACTTTTGAATCATCATGCGACACGGACGTAAGTTTCTCTTTTTACTCTGACTGCTGCTTGAGGAAACGTAACAAGACTGGATCACAAATGAATATGGGTCAAAATATTTAATATAAAAGATAAAATATTGAATACGTTCGTTTGCCTTTTTAAAGAGGGTGCGGTTTGTACAGAGCCTAGGCTCTAAACAATCAAATTAGAACCCACCTTTAAATAGTGTCAGGTAGTATGGTTTCAATACTGAAAATCTATGTGATTGCTTTCAAATATATCTTCATCTTTAGTTATAAAATTTAAAGCTTAAAAAATAGGATAGATCTAGCCGATCTATGAAAACTTGAAAATTGTCTAACAATTTATTACAACAAAGTGCACTATTTTCAAAACTTCAAATCCATTTTTTTTTTTTCTCATCTTCATGCATCTTGATGTCGAGATGATCAATTTGAGGTAATTTGGGCATCAAAACAACTTTTTCTAGTGAAATTTTCGAGGTGGGCTCCAACTTGATTGGTTAGAGCATTGGCTCTGTATAAACTTTTTCAAAAAATGGAGCTATAAATAAATAAATAAATTTTGGCCAAAAAATGCGTTAAATCTACGTGATAAACCAATTTGATTTTTAGCATGATTTGGAAATCTAAGATTATTATACCAGTGAGGTTTGTTCAAGGTGCCTTATTTGTACTGTATAACTTAGGTGCCAATCTAAAATTTCCCTGCTTTTAGATGTAGTTTGGGTTGAGATGTAGTTTTGGTGGTATAGATTTTGTGAAGAATTGGCAATCTCAATTAATTGGAAAAGGCTTTGACAATGATAATGATGAAATTTTGTGAAAGAGTTGAAAATTTATTTTTATCCCTAGACACTGACAATTGAATAGATCTATGAATATTTTGAGAATCTTACTACCAATTGAGTAGAACCTATGAATATTTGAAAATCTTGAAAACGAATGGTGTAAATAAATAGCTATATGATATTATTTTTATTACTTAATAAAGGTTTTATTCTTTATATTAATAGTTCTTGAGGTTGAGATGATGAGTTGGAGAGCTTTTTAATATCAGAACACTCTCCTAAAGGAATTTTGGGGGTTGCCTTATTTCAATAGTATAAGAAGCTGTTAGAAACTATTTTCAATCCGTAGATTTTTACATCTAAGGGTTAAGAGAGAAGGTGAAATTCTTATTGTACTAAACATGAGTAATCTTGTAGTATACAATTTCTTAGTATATATTACATTAGATGTTTAAAACTATACTTTATAGAATGCAGTTTCTATGAGGCTTCAATTCTATTTATTGAAGTAGGGCTACAACTCTCTCAACCATCCATTTATTTAGATGGAGGAGATTTTGCAACGAGGTCAACAAAAGAACCTAGGCTTTTTCTCAATGTCCTCTTTTATCTTCTATTCTCTCTCCTCTTTTGGGACCTTTATCTCATGTAGAGTTCTTGGGTCAATTTTAGACATAAGGGATTATGGAAGATGTGTTGGAGTAAAACTTGGATTGAAGAAGAGGCGATAAGGCTGCAGCCTCATAAGAACATTTTCTTCTTTTATATAGAGCTGAGGCTTTAAACAATCAAATTTGAGCCTACTTCAAAACTTTCACTAGAAGAGGTTGTTTTGATGCTCAAATATCTTCAAATTGAGCATCTAGACATCAAGATGCATGGACATGAGAAAAATGGATTTCAAGTTTTGGAAATAGTGTATTTTGTAATGCATTTTTGACCGTCAATTTTCAAGATTTTCATGGATATGTCGATCTACACTATTTTTGAAGCTTTAAACTTTATAAATAAATATGAAAATATATTTTAAGGCTATTACAAAGACATCTAGTAGTCAAACCACATTTCTCGATACTATTTGAAGGAAAGCTCTAATTTTATTGTTTAGAGCCTAAGCTTTATACAAACCACACCTATTTATCTTTGTTACATGAGTTACAATTGTTGTGGCTATTAGAAGTCAAATTGGATAGCTTGAGATGTATCATAAGGTTCAAGAAATTTTATTTTAAACTTTTGAGTCTAATCAATGATATACTCACAACCACTTGATTTGGAATCCGATGGGCAAAAGTGATTTTGACCTTTTTGTATTAAACAAAACCATATTATGGATCATAATATGGTTATGCAAACTCTGGTTCTGCCAAAACCGGGTTATTGAGAAATTACTATTTGGATAGCTTGTAGATAATACCCAAGTTATCCAAAACCCCTGTTTGGGTAACCTATTTGGGTAATTTGTGTTTACACTGTTTAGGACATATTTGGTTGGTATGAAACATTTCCATACAAAATATTTTCATCTGAAAATCACATTACACGTATTTGGTATGAAACAATAGTTTAAATTTTTTACCGAAAGTTTAGAGAGAGAAACTATACCAAATTTCAGAAAGAGAGACCACCTAAGAACTTTTAAAGAGAGAAGCAATCTCAACATTTTTTGAGAGAAAATTGTTTAAAACTTTAAATTTGATATAGTTTCTCTCCAAATATTTTGAGATAGTTTCTCTCTCTAAAAATTTGAAATTTAAGAGAGCTGAAAATTTCTCTCTTGAAATTTTTTGCAATAGTTTCTATCTCAAATTCTTTTTAAGTAGCTGCTCTTTCTAAAATTTGATATGGTTTCTTTTATTAAACTTTAAGATACTTTCCTTCTCTAAAACTTAAAATTTGAGAAAGTTTCTCTAAAATTTTTGAGATAGTGTCTCTCTCTAACTTTTTTTGGTAATTTCTCTCTCTCAAACTTGATATAGTTTCGCTCTCTAAAGTTTTAAGATACTTTCTCTCTAAAACTTGAAATTTGATATAATTTCCCTCACTAAATTTTTTGAGATAGTTCGCTCTTTAAATCTTGATGTAGGTTCTTTCTCTAAAACTTATAATTTGAGATAGTTTCTCTCTGTAAAGTTTTAAGATACTTTCTCTCTAAAACTTGAAATTTGATATAATTTCTCTCACTAAATTTTTTGAGATAGTTCTCTCTCTAAAAGTTTCAAGTTGATTCTCTCTAAATTTTGATGTAGGTTCTCTCTGTAAAACTTATAATTTGATATAGTTTCTCTCTCTAAAATTTTTTAGATAGTTACTCTCTAAAAAAAATTAGGTAGTTTCTCTCTCTAAAATTTGATATAGTTTCTCTATCAAAATTTAATATACTCTAGCTTAAAATTTGAGATAATTTTCTTTTAAAAATTTTGACATGGTTTTCTCTCTCTAAAAATTTAAGATACGTTCTCTCTCTAGAACTTGAAATTTAAGATAGTTTATCTCTCTAAATATTTTGAGATAGTTCCTCTCTCTAAATTTTTTTAAATAGTCTCTCTCTCTCTAAAATTTGATATAGTTTATATTTCAAAAATTTTAAGATATTTTCTCTTTTTAAAACTTGAAATTTTGAGATAGTTTCTCTCACTAAAAATTTCAGATATTTCTGTTTCTAAAAAAGCTTAGGTAGTTTCTCTCCTTAAAATTTCATATAGTTTTACTATCTAAAATTTTACAATACTTTATCTCTAAAACTTGAAATTTGTAATAGTTTCTCTCTAAACAATTTCAGGTAATTTCTCTCTTTAAAATTTGATATAGTTTCTTTCTTTAAATTTTTAAGATTTGTTTTCTATCTAAAATTCTTGAAATAGTTTCTCTAAAAAATTCATGTGTTTTCTCTCTCTAGAATTTGATATATTTTATCTTTCTAAAATTTAAGATACTATATTCATCTAAAATTTATAATTTGATATAATTTCGCTCTTTCAAATTTTTAAAAAAGGTTCTCTCTCTAGATTTTTTAGGCAATTTCTCTCTCTAAAATGTGATATAGTTTCTCTCTAAAATTTTAAGATACTATCTCTCTAAAACTTGAAATTTGATATAATTTTTCTCTAAAAAATTTGAGATAATTTTTCTCTCTAAATTTTTTTAGTAGTTTCACTCTCTAAAATCTAATATAGTTTTTTTTAAAAAAAATTTAAGATACTTTCTCACTCTAAACCTTAAAATTTGAGATGGTTTCTCTCTAATTTCTATGAATGTTTTGGCATAACTAATTGTATTTAACAAAGTGGGCAGCTCTAGTATGTGAAAATGGTATTAGCACAAGTTGTATTCCCTTTTTCATGCTTAGGCAAAATAATGTTTTGAACAACTCAATTTTTCTTGATTTTACATATCTATGTTTTGGCCCTCTTTTTTGATTACAAAAGAACATGATTATGTATTAAAAATGTTGCCAAACATGTTTTTATGCAAGATACCCTTGATATACAAAACATGGTTTTGGATACCCTAGGATCGAATTGCCCCCATGGGGTTCTTAAAGATGATAAAGATAAAATCTTTGATTATATGATCTTAAAAAGGTGCAGTTTGTATAAGGCCGAGGCCCTAAACAATCAAAGTAGGGTGCATAGTGTCAGGAGATGCTGTTTGAGTGCCATAAATATTTGATATGGATAGAAAATATTTTTATCTTTAACTATAAAAATTAAAGCTTCATAAAAAGGATATAGTAGATTAATAAACACTTGAATATCTTGAAAATTAACCGTCCAAAAAATACATTAGACCAAACACTATTTTTTTTTATGTTCATATATATTGAAGTCGACATGATCAATTTGAAGATTTTTTTAGTATAAAAACACTATATTTTAAAAAAAATTTGAGCCTTACATTTGATAATTACGTTACCTATAATTTTTTATGAAAAATAATTACATAGGACCTTCTCCTATTTATGTAGGATTTAAAAATCTATTATTAATTTGACACAAATCTTAAAAAAAAATCAAATCCCACTCTCATATAATAACTTTTATAGAGATCTAGTCATATTTATTGGTGATAGGGTCTTAGGATTATTACTCTTTTAAATATTTAAATTTTATAATCAGAGATGAAAATAAAATTTTAAAGTATCATTAAGGGAAGTATTTATGGACTCTGTGATCTCCTTCCCATTCTGTCTCATCAGCTGTCTCTCAGTCGTTGATATTGAAATGGAAGAATCTCGTGGCCTGGTAAAGCACATACTGATTGCAAAATTCAAAGATGAAATCCCGCCTCAAAAGATCGAAGAACTCATCCATGGATACGCCAGTCTAGTACCTCTCATTCAACCCATGAAATCCTTCCACTGGTAATCTCTTGTTTCCTGGAACAAATTGTGTCTTTTTTGTTAACAAAATGCAGGGAAATGGTGGATTTAACCGCCTAATCTCATTCTGCTTTGTTTTGTTCTTTTGATGGTGTATCCTGTTACTAAGTATTTGTTATGGCGTGAACATTTTGAAGTACTAGCTCTTCTCTCTCTCTAGGTTTTGATGTTTTAATGGTGTAAAGTAGGAAGAAGAATCTAATTGTGTTTTACCATGCCCATCTCTCTTATCCTCGTTTTTTTACACGGTTTTCTCTCAATTGTTTAAAGGTAGATATATGTATTTACAGTTTTATTTTCTTGAAATGAGGCACATGAGTGGGTTGAGAGTATTGAGAAGATATACCCCCATTTCTTGTGTTAATTTTTATTTTTTTGTGTTTTTTAATTTGACACCTTTTTTACTGGGGTTCAATGAAATGTGCGTGCTCTGTATAACTAGGTGAAGCGACAGTGACGATCTCATACTAAGAAACTATTACAATACAACATTTGTTTCTATTGGTAAGCGATATTGTGATGAACTTCAACCACTCACCTTGGGAACCCCATTTATCATTTTCGTTGATATACTACCCCGTGGCCCTTCTACGGATTTGCAAAGGTTGTACTTTAGTCCCGACAGTTTCTTCTACATTTTGATTTGTCGGCTCGCCAAACATGTTTGGAAATTTGGCATTACCCATTCATGGCTGTGCATTAAGTCATCTGCGGTTCGTAGTATTTGTAGGTGTTGAACACCTTCATTGCTTGTCATTGAGGACCTCTTCGATAGCTCGTTGAAAATCATTGTACCACTTCAATTATATCCTTGTCATGGATAGAGTACTTTTGATTTATCTCATCTACCACCAAATTTTGAAGACCATGGAGTGTTCCTTGAAGATGAATGCTCCATGGAGTGAACATAGATGCATCTATAGATGACCCAATTGGGAGATGAAACTTTGTTTTTAACAGCGGTGCTACAAGTTTCAAATGTCCTGAAATCTTCTGTTGAATGCTGCTAATGACGATTCCTTTGGCCCATTTATTAATGGAAGTACTTCACTTGAGCAATCCTTGATAAAGAGCCTAAGATATTTGGCCAAGCTCAAGAATGTTTGAAACTTAGAGATGCGTTTAGCTTGCTACCGTCATAGAGTATCATGCATCTTCTATTGTTCTATTTGGTTGGATCTTTTGGTTATATTGTATGAGCCAGGAATATTATTTGGATTTGGGCATGTTGATACTTTAATGTAGGACCAAAGGGATAAATACCATTCTGGTGGGTTTGGTGGGATCTGTTTGAATAAGGGTTTAGGGAAAACCAGGGCTAATGTCTGTGAACTTGATTTGGATTTGATGGGCAGTACAGGCTATGAGTTCAGAGTTTGGGGCTATGTGAAAGATGATGCATGGGAATTGATTAGGTGTCATGCATGTGAAGGGGCATTCTTGATTTTGTAATTGTTGGTGGATGGAAAGATTGTGTGGATAGGTTTAAATGTCAGGGATGAAGGTGGATTAAGCTGGTAGGTTTTGAAGATGAATGAATAGGGGGATGAATGGGGATTGAAAAGGGTCAAGGGACCTGGTGTTAGATTAGTCAGTCTTATCAAACTTAGGTTGTTTGTCATATCATATCACAAAGAGGAATAACTCCTTCGAAGATTAAGGAGGTACTCCTCCCAAGGTGGCTTCATACCACTAACTGAATAAAAAACAATTGGTATCCCAAATTACTTGTCTTGACCATTGACGTACAACCTTTGTTTTAGTGTCCTATGTAGAGGTGTCCTATACTTGACCACAAGTCTTGCCCAATAAGACTCCTAACCAAATAGAAAAGTGTCTAATATGTAAACTTCCTAATTCATTTCGGAAAGAATCCTATCTTCTAGAAACCAAATGCAAAAGAAAACCAACTTTTAAAGGAACTTTACTTTTCTAGGAAACCCAAACAAGAACCAAAAAGTCCAATTTCCAATTGCTTCCTCCTTGTCTTAGACTTCTAATCAAAATGAAAATCAAAACCTGAAAAGTCATTACTACTTTTTAGCAGGATTTTCACCATGATTTGAAGCCCAAAACATTCTTTTGGGGAAAAGCACATAGAAATAGTAGTCATAGATCTGGGTAAGATTTTCAGTTTGAGCTTTGAAACACCTTAAAATCCTAAAGGGACATCGGGTAAAATGTTGTGGCCTTTGGAAGTTGACTTCATCATACTAATCTGATCTAAGATAAAGTTGGTTCTCTTTAAGTTGCACAACCCTTAGATGCCACATATAATCTTATGAAGACGCCAATTTGTTCAAATTTGAATGGGTAGTTTGCACATTTTGATATGGGACCCAATGCATGCTTTGGGTCTTATGTGAAGTGGAATTGAATGGTATTTGTCAGTCAATCTTGAAGTTTATATTTCTTACATACCTGAGTACAATAATTTCTTAACATCTCTTCAGCTTAGAAGTAGCATTCACTTATACATGTAGAATCCACAGTTTTCGTTTCCCCAATATCCATAGAAAGTCTCCAAATTATGAGAAGTATAAAGATTATTTCAGAACATAGGTATTGACCAATTCACTTCTTCGTCAAGAAAAACTCAGCTTTGTGTTATCAAGGCTTTCTTTGGGATGTTACAAATCTATACGCTATTGATCATAGGGCAGATGGCAGTAGTCTAGTACTGTTACTGGAGAATAAATTTTTCTCAGGAGTCCGTCCATCTCATGATTGCCTAAATTTCATTTGATAAGGTTAGGTGCCTGCACATTATCTTCCAGCAACAGTTACTTGGTACTTTCATCTCATAATCAACCAATCTTGTGTGGTCATAATATAAATATATGCATTTTGTTGCTCATGTTGCTTGAGAGAAATCACGCAATCCCTAAGTTTAAAATATCTAGAAAGATAACCCCTACATGCATTTTAAAAATTTGTTATTTGGAACCTGGGAGTGACCGTAGATCACTTTTCAAATTTCGTAATATGTGTACATACATGTGATCTATAAAGTTTTGAAGAAGATGCCTAGTTTGCTATGTAAGCTATGATCATTGTTGATTATATACTAGTTTTTTCAAGAGAGTTGGTCATTTTATTGAAATATTGGTTATGGTCTAGTCAATTTAAAGGCATTGCAATCTTATTTTATTTAGTAGTTATTTATTTATTTATAGGGAAAGCTTTCTATGTGACCCCACCCACATGTAAATTATATGTGACCCCACTTCTCAGCCATTCGATCTGAATTGACGGCTAGGATTGCTCAATGTCACAATGTAAATGCATTGTTTGATTATTAATTTCTTTTCTACAAAACCTGAGTGAAACTTGGGGCGTCCCATCTTCTTATTGGGGTGCACCTATAAAAAATAAAAATAAAATATTTTCCATGAAAATAAATGACCAAAATGCCCTCAAAAGTTTCATAAAGGAAATATTTTTATTTTTATTTTTATCATGTGCGCCCCCGTTAGGATCATGAATGCCCCAAATTTTGCTACAAAGTGATTCATAGAATAGATATTAAAAATAAAGCACTTTGAGCCATCGGATCAAAATCTGATGCTCGAGAGCCAATTTGTGACATTGTGACTCAAGCCTTCCTAGCTGTCTACTCAGATCCGACGGCTGAGAGCAGGAGTCACATGTGCTTTATACGTGGTGTATGCTTTCCCTTATTTATATTGTTTGGACCATTTTTCTCATTAGAAATTGTTGTTAAGAGCACTTTTAATCTGTGTTGTCACTTTGCAAAAGAAAGAGTTTTGTGTTAAGTTGTTAACTGTCAAACATGTGAACTTTGGGTATGTCATCTGTGTATCTTTTTATTTGTTTTTCATGGCTAGATCAGTCATCATATCAGTACTGCTTTTCATTAGAGCAACTCTATTGTAATAGTGATCATATGTTGCAATGTTGTTTTGTATAGTTTTCTTTGGACTTGGGCCTGTAGAACTTCAAGCAGAGGCACAATCCCTACATGAATGCCAAATTGATGGCAACAATGGTTGCACCAACCATTAGCTTAGGTTTGCTTGGTTCCATTTGGTTTATTCCTAGGTTTTAGTTTATTTGATGTTGCTTAGTTCTTTTTTCTATTGTTTTAGGTGTTCTATGGGTTGTGGGTAGTAGTCCCCTATCCAAGTAGTAAGGCATCCCCCTCCCTCACCCCTATAGATAAGGGGGTGACCCTCCTCCTTCTAGATATGTTACAAAGAGGGAATAAAATGTTTTCCATATAGTGGATGAGAATCTTCTTGCCTAGATTTGAACACAATATGCATTTCCCCTCTCTCTCTCTGTCTGTATATATCTATAGCCTAGATTTGAATGCCATACGCATTTCCCCTCTCTCTCTCTTAGTGTGTGTGTGTGTGTGTATGCGTGTGTGTGTGCGTGTGTGTGCGTGTGTGTGTATATATATATATATTTTATGTGTTTGTATTATTGTTTAGTTCTCTTTTGGGTTTTACAGTACAAACCGCCCCCCCCTCCCTCTGCCGGAGATAGCTTATTGTGATTATTCATTGCTCTTTAAGTTTTACCTAGTCACAACTTTGAGCTCGTGATAAATAATTGAGCAACTATGCCACAGCGAAACTCCTGCCAAATTGTTGCCTTACTGTGGAATGCGGTAGTTTGGACCATGTACATCAAGGGCAGTCATGCTCGACTGTGGTTCATGTTGCTTTTGAGCTCTAGTGCATTAACAGAGTGGGGGCGGGCCCTTTCCAAATGGCTATTCAAAGCATTGGCCTCTGAGCTTGTTTCGCAAAAAGTGGCATCACAGCCGCTATTAGGATCATCAGGAGAGAACTGTGGCCTTGTGCAGTTGGGATGTTTTGAGCTCAGTTGGAGCTCAGTTGTGGAGAGAAAATACTGTGATGTGGAAATGTCATTGGATCACAGTTTGGATATTTGCGAGGGAACTTTGAAGCCATGTTACCTTAAACAGGGAATTTGAACATGTAAGAAAGAGAGGATGAAAGACATCAAACATTTGTTAAGCAGAAGGGAAAAGCTCAATAACACCAGCATTGTGACTTGAAATCTGGTGTGGTGACTTAACTTCAATGACAAGATTTATGGTACATGTATCGCCAAAAGAAGAGGAAGCTTTGTTCAAGTGGTATGCGTGTGTCGTAATGCCGTATTTGCCATTAAGGCGTCTGTTTAGAGAAAAACTCCTGGATCACTTAGAGAAAATCTCATGGATCATATTAAATATGCTAAGAGTTCAAAAGAGGCTTGGGACTCATTTGCTGACCTGTATATGCTTGATTACAGCTGCTGGAGAATGAGGTTGGCACAATTACTTACGGTAATATGTCGATTTCATGATACTTTATGGTGGACGAGAGTATATGCAACAAGCTTTTGTAGATTAACACCAAATTGAAGGTCACCGAGGCATGGGTTAGGTCATTCCTGGGCTCAAATTCCATAGGCAGATGTAATGCAAACACCCACTTCCCCATATTCAAGACATACAATTTGTGCTCTAAATATCTGAATTGTCCCTCTGTCACCCTCTTGTCAGGGTTGATAAGTTCATTTGGCAACAAGAGCATGCCAACAGGACCTGATGGTATTCACTAGAAAACTGAAACACAAATTTTTTTTTCGATAGTATGTATATATATATATATATATATATATATATGTATATGTTGCTATGAACTTAGGTACAAAAGTTCCGAGGAGATGTGGGTTGGGTCGGGTGGTGCTTTACATTTGTCTTATATATGTTGAACACAAGGGTGATGGAATACAAAAACGATTGCTGTAGATCCAAAGGAGGGCTCACTATACAAAAATGTGATGTGTGGAGGAATAGAGATGAGAGAGAGAGATAGAGAGAGAGAGAGAGGAGGAGAGGAGGTATGCATTGGGAGTGGAATTGGGAAAGTGTTTGAGGAGAAATGAAGATAATGGTGTAGAGAGAGAGAGAGAGAGAGAGAGAGAGAGAGAGAGATGAAGAATGAGGATAAAGAAAAGAAAGGTGAGTTAGGGCATTAGGCTCCCTCTGCTGCACCCTCTCTGGCCAAAACATCAGCATTCGAAAACCTGCAATTTAAGAAAATATGATCGAAAATATGAGATAGCCTCTACGGGCGTTGGACCTTTAGGGACGCCCAAGAGATTGCATTCTTTAAGTCTCCTTCCACAATGAGATGGTGACCCTAATTTGAGTCAAATCTTTGGAGGCCTTCTTATAGGGCGATCACCTTCGTTGTTGAGTCTGTCAGGCTGATGTAGCCAGAGAAATTGAAGATAGCGTTCCTTGGAAGTTTCTGAAAGTTCCCCCATAGCCACTTGGGGCTGAGTTCTATAATGAAGAGCCATCTTGAGCTTGATGCTGCCCAAAATGATAGCGGACCAGCTTGGGATTCTATTTGGTCTTAACCTAAAAATATTGACCCTGTTGGATCGATACTTGACTCTTGAGATTCTTTTTAGCGCTTTAAAATTGTTGGCCCAATGGACATAGTCAAATCTCTTACATGATCAGCAGAGGCCCTGATGGATTGCTCTTTTTGCTGGAAAATTCTACAGTTTCTCTTGGTCCATTTTACCCAGAATGTGGCTAGGACAGAAGCTCTCCAATGGAAGAGGTTTTTTTCTCTTGACCTGTTGTGGGGGGGCTTTGGGTGTTGATGTTCGGGTTAGGTTGGTGTGGGGGTGGGACAAAAAAACAAAAAGGAGCTATTTGAATTGTATTTGGGTTAGCTCAATCCCATTTGGAAATCTAGCAACAGCTTATTCCACATGGAGCTTGCAAATTTACAATGAAGAAATAGGTGTTCGTTGTTTTTCTCAGCTTCCTTGCGTTTGCATAGAACGTATCAGTTGGGAGGCTGAACCCTCTTTTTTGGAGGTGCTATAGTGTGTGCTGTTATAGGACCAGCCAAGTGAATGTATTAATTGCCTTCCTTTAGGAAAGACATTGGCTGCATTATTTCTCCCTTTCAGGATACTCTCAACTACTGTATGGTGAAGACTTCGTTTATATACATTTACTTCATTTCAAATATCTTACTCAGCTAAGCCTTTGAACAGGTTATGCAACAGCTTGAGCCACCTTAAAAAGCAAACGAAGATTATGATCTCTCTAACTAAATGGGAGAATTGCTTGGAGAATTCTTGAATGTTTCGTAGGTTAACATACACTTGATTGTGCCATTTCTCAATTTGAACTTGTAATTAAATCTTTAATTGGAATTAAATTTTGGGTCTCTATTACCTCATTTCATAAGGATACAGGTTATATGAACACGAAAGGCGTGTTTACATGTTTATGGCCTAGCATGTTCTTTATGTAGCTTCTCAAATACACTCCCAAGTTACTTGCACCTCTATTTGAAACATGGTTACGCTGGGAAGTTGCACTAAATTGGGATTGGTGTATCAGTGCAGTTTATTTATCCATTTTCTCAGTGTAGAAGTCTATGAAGCAAAAGGAAACTATCAGATCTCTCTCTCTCTCTCTCTCTCTCTCTCTCTCTCTCACACACACACACACATTCTAAGAAATCTTGGTACAATATTGTGTGTTCATATTGTATATTATTTATTTATTTATTTTGATGGTTTTGTTTTGTTTTAGGGGGAACGATGTGAGCATAGAGAACTTGCAAGAGGGTTTCACCCATGTGTTTGAGTCCACATTTGAGAGTTTGGAAGGCGTCGCAGAATATGTTGCTCATCCAAGCCATGTTGAGTTTGCAAATGCCTTCCTGCCTTCTTTAGAGAAGGTCATTGTTATTGACTACAAACCCACCACAGTGAATCTCTCCTAAGAATTGTGGTCTTCCTGCCTTCTTTAGAGAAGGTCATTGTTATTGACCACAAACCCACCACTGTCAATCTCTCCTAAGATTTGTGGTTTGATGAAATTGTCTCATAATAATTGGGCTTTGATAAACTTTGCTTCTTCATTGGCATGTTGTCATCTCTTTACGTTGAACTTTGATAAACTTTGCTTCCTCATGGACAGGTTATCATATCTCTTTATTTTGTGAAATTTGGATACATGTGATGACTTATTTAGTGATGGATGTCGGCATGATGCACTTCTACATGTATCCGCCCAGGCAAAACAGTGTTAAAAAAATACAAAAAAAAATCCCTAAACATATGAAAAAGGGGTTGTATGCAATGATCTACAAGGTGGGAAATTTGATAGCTTGGATGTATCACAATGTTCGAGCAAATTTCTTTTAAAATAACATTGAACATAACACATTTATTTATATGTAGTTAAAAAAGTAATAAAAAAATGCATTTAAATTCTTTTTTCTTTTTTTTTTTTATCTGGGGGCATTCTAGAAATGGGTGTGGTTTGTATAAAGCCACAATATTAAACAATCAAGTAAGGCGCACCACTAAAATTTGTCATAAGATGTAATTTTGGTGTAACAAATATTTGGATGGCTTGAAAGTCCATTTTCATCTCTAATAATAAAATTTTAAAATTTTAGAGCAGTTCAAATCAAGTAGATATATGCAAATGAAAATGTTGAAAAGAAATGGAAGTGATAATGTGTTGTAAGATGCACTATTTTTTGGATTTGAAATATCTTATTTTTTTACAAATAAATTTCTTTTTTTATTTGAAATTTTTGATTTTTTTTAATATCCTTGAGCTTCACCACTAAACTTGAAATACTTTGGAGAGCCGGAGTTGCCCGTATGAGTTCGGGTTGGCTCGGCCGAGTAGGCATTATAAGGTTGTGCCAATAGTTATAAAGAGTGGCATAATTACATCTCTTATTGCATTCAATTATCAGTTAGGGGTGGTGAATGGGTTGGGCGGACCTGTGGGTCCAGTTTCAGACATCAAGTCTTGGTCAAGCAGC